AATATATAGCAAACATTTTTCTGTGTGATTATAATTGCAAGTGCTAAATTTCTCAGTATCTACGACATCGAGTTTTCCCCATTCTTACACACATGACAGAAAATGTAGATACACTAATGGAATGATTTTTCCTGTATGGGCTACTAAGGTAATGTCTCAATGCGTTAGCGAAGCGCAGAGAATCAATCCTCGCGACCGGGTTCGCCTACGACGTGACACGCGTCGATCGACGCGTTGCATAAGTGCATAAGTCCATCCGGACGGAGAGATCGGGAACGTACATCTGGGTTACACGCGATTTACGACGGCAGGCAGCGAGATCTCGCGACGATTTATTTTCACTTAATCCGCTTCTCTCTCCCTTACTCTCTCTCTCTCTCTCTCTCTCTCTCTCTCTCTCTCTCTCTCTCTCTTCCCTCTCGCGAGAAGAGAGCTCTCGGCTTTCGTTTCGTCATTCCGAAACGTCGTCGTCTCACTGGCAATAGGCGCGCCTAGACATTCGAGAGCAATAATCGATGGTAACCGCTCCATCAATGACAAGGGAGGTCCGACTAATTACTAGGAAGACAGATGCGCGCCTTCGGAATCGCCCGTTACATAAAGCTCCCTGAGAAATATCCGCGTATTTATTCGTCGACGGGATTATGTACACAAGAATCACCACGGCCGAGGTTACCGGGTGGCCGCAAAAGAAAAACGATTCGCGCTTCTCTTCCACGGAAGAGAAGTGACTCACGCGAGAAAGTATTTTAATCGACTCTTCTCTCTCTCTCTCTTTGTTTCTCTTTCACTCTCCTGTCATAGTTCCGAATAAAACTTGAAAAGTGCAACGGAGAATTCACATAGCTCACGCGTGGGAACGTTCAATATAGGTATCGCTAGCAAATGTCGCGACTGATCTATCGTTACGGTATACCCGAGTCGAAATTTCGCTTCTACATTGATCCTGCAAGTTCGTTCGAACATGCGGAACCAATGGAGAATTTAGAGACATGCTGTACAGACAATATCGTCCCAACTCGATGCTGCAAATGTCTGCTGACTGTCGTTTTCTTTATACTGAGTCTTCAGGGAAGATACACGGAGAGAACTTTACAGTAAAAATTACTATTAGAATTTTTTCACCGAGGAATAGGTCGACATTCTGCAGGAATTAATTACACTTTCATATGTACTATTTATACTTCATAAATTGAAATATTCTGTTAAACATCTCTTGGCTATGTCTATCCCTCTGCACTACTATAAACATAGTAAAATGGAAAAGAATCTATATGGAAAGAAATTATAATGTTCTCTCTGTGTATTTTACTTCCTCTGCAATGTCAAATATTCAATTGATATCAAATACTTCATATGGATAAATAATGTGTGGGATTTAAAAAATTAACAAAACATTTTACTTTCTCATGATCTTTTTATTATTTTTTTTATTGGCTTTTTTATTGGAAATTTTGATACGATTTGAGGATTCGGGAAAAGTGAAAAAGCTATTGTCCTTACAAGGACAGTTGTGTGTCCAATAATGTTTCAATGCAATGGAAATCTAAATTTGGATTCGATAATAATGGAAAACAAAAGCAAAAGAAGATTTTTATGTTGGTAGATGTCAGCAAGACTCGCGAAACAAGAAGCATTATTAGACGCAAAAATCAATATTTGTAAAACTTACACTATATTCTAAAGCCGATTCATAGCTATAAATTATTGACGATATTCTAATGAAAACAGAAAATCACAGATTTGTATTCAGGGACCGTTGCTGACTTGGTTGCTCAGATCAATATATCTGTTTGTGTGACAAGTACGACGAGTGATAAGAGATTCATGAAGCTATAATTATTTATCAGACGGTGAACTACAAATGCCGGCCTAAATTTCGACTCGAGGTATCTCCGTATTCTTAGTAAGTTCATCTCAAATGTGCGTCAAGATCGGGGACGTAATAAATAATTCGCACACCTGGAAATTGCTGCTCGCGTCCTCCATCCCGGTCTCCCGATTCAGCATTGTGGCTCCCAACTTGGCTTCCAAAACTCCGTCGTAGCACCGGCACTAACATTGACACAGACACTTGATTCGTAGACACGATTCAGCCGTAGAGAAACGTGTGTTAATTAACGCGACCAAATATAACGCCGCAATGAAATATTCCAACATGGAGAAAAATAATTTACTGGCCCAGCAAATTTTCTGCTGGTCTAGCAAAATCTTTTCGTTATTATATAGACAACAAAAAGGTTTACTAATCACTATTTGCTGGATATAATTTTGATTGAATTTAAGAACCATGATGGATTTATATAAACAGTTGCAGTTTTGCTTCATAAAATAAATTTGCTAAGGATACATTATTTTTCATCAATAGCAAATTAACATGATTCTTAGAATAAATACACTCAACAAATTTTTTCTATCTTGACAACGAAACTATTTCTACTTTGATAATGAATAATTTGTAAAATTAATTATGTTAACTAAATTTTTTGCTGTCACTACGAATATGTAGTAGCAACGATGATTTTGCTAAAAGAGCAAAATTATTTTTTCCCGTGAACACGGAGAAAAATAATTTGCTGGGCCAGCAAATTTTCTACTAATCTAGCAAAATCTATTCATTATTATTTGGACAGCAAAAAGATTTGCTAAGAGTACTAATCACTATTTACTAAACATAATTTGCTGAATCTACAAATTATTTTGCTATAAGGACCATTATGGATTTATATAAGCAGTTGCAGTTTTGCTCCGATAGCAAATAAATTTGCTAAAGATACATTATTTTGCATCAATAGCAAGTTAACATGATAGAACAAATACACTCGACAAATTTTTTCTATCCTGGCAACGAAACTACTTCTACTTTGATAACGAATAATTTGTAAAATTAATTATGTCAAATAAATTTTTTTGCTGTCACTGAATATGCAGTAGCAACGGCGATTTTGCTAAAAGAGCAAAATTAATTTTCTGCATGAAGGTCCGAGAAAATATTTTATTCGCCCGACAAGAATTGCGTGTACTCGACACACTACTGCACGCACTCCGCGTCGCGGGATGTGTGTGCCGCTCGTCGGCTCGGAACATTATGACTCGGTCACGGACACGTACGCGTGATACCGAAACAATCGGCAAGAAGGGCAAAAACATTCGCCGCCATTCGGTAATTGTCGCCCGCCGATCAATGACGCGTATACGGTCGCGACGCCCGAGAGCGACCACAACAATAAACACCTCTAAAACATTACGCGAAGCCCCCCCTTGAATCTGTTGACACCTTCTTTCACTTGTGTCTGGGCCGTGGTTATTTTCTCTCTGCTGAATTCAAATCTCGGACGAAAAAAAAAGTTTGCTAATATATGGACAACTAAAAATATTAACTGCAGGAACAAATTTTCTTGCTTTCATAGTAAAAGTTATTTATTTGTAATAACTAAAAGATCTGCTAATATATATATTATCAAATCTTTTAACTATCACAACTAAATAACTTTTACTATGAAAGCAAGAAAATTTGCTCCTGTAGTTAATATTTTTAGTTGTCCATGTATTAGCAAATCTTTTTCCGTGCAGTATATATCTCTGTGTGCGTACGGAGCTGCCACGTGCATGGAGAAATACATTCAGGTAAATTGTATTTTATTACTTCAGCATATATAGTGAGTGTAGAAAGTATTCGTACACAAGAAATTGTCTTGAAGAAAGCTTTATTTAAAAATAAGCTTTACTTAATAATTTATTAACAGTAAACAAGTGATATATTTCTCAAAATTATGTTAATAAATTGTTAAAACTTATTTTCTACAAATAAGGTTTTTTTTCAAAACTCTCTGATGTACTTTTTGCACTCACTGTACATGCTAGCTTACAATCGTGCCTTAACACCATCTTTTTTATTTCTTTATTAGATACCTGCTATTCTTTTATTACAATATATAACTGTGTTTGTTGCATATATGTTTTTAGAAATAACTTTGTACTTTATTATTATTCATTTTAACAGTAATAACGTTATACTTGTTATACACTTATTCTTTTTTATAATATATCACTGCGTTATATATTGTTACTGATTTGTTAGATTCACTTGGCGCAAATTTCTTGATATCATTATTTTTATAATATTATCTATACATAAATTTTGTACAGAGCGCGTATACTTGCCGTCTATTTTACTTTCTTTATAAAGAAAATAACTTTTGTACCGTATTTTAAGATTGCTATCAAGAAAATATTCTTTACTGGATATAACCATTATTTAAGAGAGAAAAGTAAACTGAGTAATCACTTATCAGTAGAATATTTTTCTGTGTGTGTGTGTGTGCGTACCTTTACCTTGACTGTCCTTTCTCTATTCCCACATTATACTTTATCAATAGTTCGCTCATCCTCTCCTCCCACTCTTCGATATACTGCTTATTGGTAGTCACATAAACCTTGGCCGCTGACGTGACTGAGAACTTAATGAAATGAGACATGCACAAGCGGGATCGAAAAAGCGACTTTCTCACGAGTCTTCGCATGCGTACCGTGACCGTGCACTACGACGTTTCCTTCGCACATAATTACATCCTCAGGGCCGAGCCGAAACCTCGCGAATGTTTTCGGATTGCGGAAGATTCATCTTTCGCCCTTCATTTCCCCCGAGATATTCTCGCCGCGATAATAATCCCTACGCGAAACGAGAGATCCGACGATAAAGGATCTCTCGCGCGAGCGAGAGCCTCGCTCCCGAAGGGAGCGTCTCCCGACGCGTGTCCTCCCCGCGACGCGATCGATATCATCGATCCTGAGACCCGACCGGCGTCTCGCTTCGCTCGAAAACACGAAAATTCTCCCCCTCGACCGCGACGTTCGCCTCTCGGCTGACGTTGTATCGTTGTACTTGCACCGCGTCGAGTCACCACCGATGACTCAATCATCCGATCCGATCGCCGACCGAGCCCGATAAGACGGACTCGTGTCTGATCCACCTATAATTGTTACATTTTGATTCGCAGGTGCACGTGAGGGTGTTGGACAAGAACGACGTGGCCCCCACGTGGGACACGGGTCCGTGGAAATTCAATATCTCCGAGGAGGCGCCACCCAACACCGTGGTCACCGTGCTCAAGGCCCACGATCCGGACACCATAGGCACTCTAACCTACACCCTGGTGCCGAATTATCGTCCCGAGTCGAACGGCAGGCTCGAGTCCGTGGACGACGACTACGGCACGGAGAGTCAATTCAAGCTCAATCCGACCACCGGCCAGTTGAGCCTCGGCGAAGCCTTGGACAGAGAAACTAAGGAGAAATACCTGCTGAAGGTACGCGCCGACGATGGACTGCAGCACAGAGACATCGTGCTTACCATACAGGTGAGTGCAATGATATGCCATCAAGGAGAGTGTGATCATGTTAATTGGACGATTATCATTTTATGAAGAAAATTTTGTAGTAAACATCTTTATGGAATTTTGTAACCCAGGAATAGATCGACATTGCGCAGCAATTGGCTGTGCTTTCGTTCTACCCCGAAATCGAAATTTTGGCCCTATGTTAAACCTTGAATTCTACAACGCAGTAGAAGCTAAGTTAGCAAGGTTTTAATTCTAATGATACAATTTACTTCTATTTTGACCCTGATGATATCTCAAAATTTATCTTTTCATTTTTTTTAGCGTTAAAATAGGTTGTGTTATAGTAGGATGTTAATAATAAGACTGAAAGTAGAGTTAAAATTTCGACTCGAAGTTAAAAAGAATCAAAAGAGGTTGATGTTGGTTTCAGAGTATTAAAATAGGTGTAAAATGGAAAAGTAAGGTTGAAAGTAGAATCAAGATTTCGACTCGGGATACGTGCTGTTCATATTTTAGGAAGTGTACTGTCTAAATTTCTTGGAATGAAATTCCACTCGAGAGGTAGAGTGACTACCAAGTCACTCGAACGGTTTTTCTCTCACATGCAGAGTGAATTCTCCACTCTGAATCGCCGAGTGAATATCGAAACTGAAGAGTGAATCTGATGTGTCGTCAGAGGAACGTATTCAATCGATTGGTATATTCTCTCGCATGGAGTCAGAATCCGGTCTAAGCTTGAGTGAAACATCCACACTTGCGATTTCAAGTAACAGTATTTTCACTATCGCGCTTTAAGCAAGAATATTGCCACTTTTCACTCGTGAGATTCCATCATAAGGAATTTAGAGAGTAATTGAGTTACCAATACTTTGTAACCACACCAATTTGGACTTTATTTTACCACTTTTGGTCATTAACGCTATTGAACTGTCGCAGCAACGAATTACTTCTGTAGCGCGCTGTTCTCTCTCGCTTCTTTGGATAATCAATAAATAATAAATTAGCGACATGTATATACGGTTGGAAAGAATAGTTACATCGCGTGAACTGTTTTGTCGGTTAATAACGACGTAGATGTTGCGTGTGAAGTGTGACACTTCAAGTGTCCTCTTTTATCGTCCGTCGTAATCGCCTCGCTCTCATCTTAGATCTGTCTCCGTGTTCTCCGTGCGCGTTCCGCGTTGAGTAAAAATTTAGAAAGCTCCGAAACACACATCTTGCGATGCACTTTTGCGCGAAGTAAAAATCGTTATGTCGCGGGGATGATTGTAATTAGCGAGGAGAAATTAGCCGATGCCATTTGCCGACGCGACCGAATTCCGCCACGAACGCCGATTATTATTTAACCGCGAGGAATCGCCGATATGAAGCAATAGGTTACAGTTATAGTAGGAAGTCGTCGGCGACCTTTCGGCATGAGGACGTGTCTAATGCATTATCGACTTGACCCCGCGCATTGAGCATTCCGACGAGCCAGGAACAATCGGCCGCTCTCTATCTCCGTCCTGACGATCGCTCGCCTGCCTTTCCTCGCAAAGTCTGCAAATGCCATTTTCGATATTTCGCCACGCAGCAGAGAAAGAGAGAAAAAGATTCTTTCGCATCACGTCCCAGTTACGCTAGTTTTATGTCGCTCGAAACTCCAGCCGGCGGCTAACTCCGCACTCAGTTATTGCGAAATGCCGTCGCGGCTGATTGTTATTCAAATTGCAGCTTACGTTCAAAACAAATCAAACAATCGTTCGCGAGAAATTGCTGAAACATTATGTTCAAGTACCAAATACCACGCGCGGAAAGAAATATTTGCTTGATTAACGTGAACGTTCAATTTTAATGGAACGAAGTAACGCATTTTGATTAAGGGACACAGAATTTTTTATTTTTGTGGCTCAAATCTGGTTCTAAGAACTGAAAATTTTATTTCACCGGATGAAAATCAATGAGAAAGAAGACGGAACAGTGAAGTGGGAATGTTTTCACCGAAAATCAATGAACCTTCGATGGCCTTTTACTGATTTAAGCTGAAACATTTCTACTAATACACTTAGGGGCTGAGCACAATAAAAGGAATAAGGAACAGGGAACAGAGAATAAGGAATACTGAAAACAAGAAATAACGCTATTCCTCTGTTCCTCTATTCTGCGTTGATGAATTAGGTTTCATGTTTTAATATTGAACTACTCCCTATTCTCTGTTGCCTGTTCTCTATTCTCGATTCCCTATTCCTTATTCCTTTTACTGTGCTCAGCCCCTTAGAGAGCGGGTCTTCAAGAATATTCCAAACTAAATCGACATCGAAGTCGAAATACCCACGTGTCCGTTAAAGGGGCGTCTACATTGGAAGTAAATAGTAAGAAGTAGGAAGTAAGAGTAAGAAATTGACTAACCACAGTCGAATGTGAGAAGAATAATCAACTATGATTGGTCAATTTCCTATTCTTACTTCCTACTTCTTCCTGCTTACTTCCAATGTAAACGCCCCTTAAGTCCCGATCCACAATAGGTGTAGTAAGCTTCAAGCCTTAAGAAATTAACCAATCACAGTCAAATTTGAGGAGAATAATCGATTGTGATTGGTCAATTTCTTAAGGCTTAAAGCTCACCACACCTATTGTGGCTCGGGACTAATACTCCTAATTCTAAGCACGCCATGGCGAAACGGAATCGCGCACGTCGTGAGTATCGCGCGTCCCGCCTTACAATTCATTACGCGGTCCCGCCGAGACGATTCGCGACGATAAAAAACGCGAAGCCGGGTCCCAGGACAGGCCGTTTAACGAAGGCCCGCGGAGAGGGCCCGGTCCGGTGGCCCGGGTCGTGCCTTTCGGAGACAATCGCAAAAATGATCCTTATGACGTGTAATGGCCGGAATTCTCTTAAGGGTCTCGCTTCGACTGCCTCTCGCTCACTCGTCCGCTGTTCTATCGCGAGCCTCTCTTTCGCGAGGGCAAGGAGAGGAATGCCAGAGCCGATCATAGCTCGGCGGTTTCGGGGCCCCGTGAAAGAGGGGCCGCTATTGCCCGACAGTTGCGGAATCTGCCCCTTCTGGCCTCTTATATCTGGTCCTCTTGTCCTGTCCGCTCCCTCTCTCCTCTCTCTCTACGCTATTTCGCGCTCCTCTCGCTAACCTCAGGCGAGCGACTCCCTCTCCCGCTCTTCCTCTGCCTCTCGAGCGATCTCCACGGATCCCTTCGGGGAGAATCTCTTTTTCATCTCCTTCTTCGATTCCTCTCCTCGATTCTTATCCTCGTCGCGCCGTTCCCCTTTGAAGGAGAATAAGGATAAGACACGTGGCGTACCGGCGCGCTGTCGCTACCCAGAATAACACGCTTCCACACTTGAAGAGTACTCTGTTTCTCTCTTTCTCTCTCCCCCTCTCTCTCTCTCTCTCTCTCTCTCTCCTCGCGTAGAGTCATTTTGAAGGAGCACCTCGCTTCGAGGTGTACCGAGTCTCTGTCCTTGGAATTCCTCGCGAGATTCCCATATCGCGCTCATCCCGTCGGATTTACGCGATACCACCGATACCACGGCGACGCTCGCGACGGCGCCTAGCGTCGTGCACGAAGGAATCTCACCCGGCGCCTCCGACTTAAGGGACATCTACATTGGAAGTAAATAGCAAGAAGTAGGAAGCAAGAGTAAGAAATTGACCAACCACAGTCGAATGTGAGAAGAATAATCAACTATGATTGGTCAATTTCTTATTCTTACTTCCTACTTCTTACTGCTTACTTCCAATGTAGACGTCCCTTTACTCACCCAGCACTCCCTTGTTTCCGGCTTTACCGTTATGGCATTATCGCAGGACACCCCGTATAGCCGAGTATGATCAGCGGCGCGAGCGCGCTTCTGCCGCTCTTGGTTCTCTCGCTCGCGACATGTCTCGCTCGCGGAATCTGGGCCCCAACCGTTCTTCAGCCACCCCGGCCCCCGCGCGGGTCCCCCCGTCCCCTTCGTCCCTCGTGCGGGCTCAAAGCGTCTGTCTCCTTCTTTCTCTTGCCTCGACCTCCTCCACCCCCTCGTCAGCGATTCTTTTTCTTCGTCTCCTCCTTTTCGCTGGCCCCTCGTCATCCGCCGCCGTCTCGGGACACCGTCGCTTTTTGCAAACGTCTCCGGAGTCCTCCTTAATCAAACCGTGCCCACCTTTGCCGCTTGTACTCCGGTACCGCGCCGCGATCGCTCGCCGATCTTGGAAACGCTCGAATTAAGGGGGGACGCTGCAGTAACGGATAGCGAAAAACACGGGTATCTTGACAATTTTATTTCACGAAGACGGCCGTGGAAGTCATTTATCTGTATTCATACTATTATCAAATGACATTTAGCCAACAAGTTGTGTAAATTTCACTAGAAAAAAATAGCAATCATCTTATGCCGGCTTCGGTTGACTTAAACCGGCTGATAATTCCAACAGAATTGGCCGATCACACTTTTCGTTGGTCAGAATCACTGACAGATGCGATTAGCCAATCACACATTAATCGCGGTTAATCGCAGGTGAGAGATGTCGTGAAATTTCTTTTCGAATGACGACAACGATGATCCAGTAATCCTCAGTAATCTGAAGCCAAAGAAGGAAAACCTTTCGAATATATTTTCAGTAAAGCGTAAGGGATTTTTCCAAATTTTTTTACCCGTTTGTAATTGTGGTGGTCCTCATTTAGAACTTCGGTGAAGACGCGATCGTGCAGTTCGGTGTGCCGCTTCTCTCTGGCATCGAGCTGCCAGTATCGTCAACAGACATTTCCGATCCTTTGGCCGTCGAACCACGGCCGTTCAGTTTAACAAACGATGAGAGGAGATAATATGCAAAGCCGCTATCACGATGTCTTGTTTCGGGTCGATTTACTGAGAGATAAATTAAATTAAATTGGTCCCGGCGCGATAGTGACCGCGCGCGCTCATCAGAAAAGAAGGCCGCTGCGCGGGAATAATATAATTTACATACTTCTTTCTTTCTCTCTCTCTCTCTCTCTCTCTCTCTCTCTCTCTCTCTCTCTCTCTCTCTCTCTCTCTCTCTTGCCGTACGTGTGCGTACGTGTGATCGTGCGTGCGAGTGTGACGTCATCGTATCATACGCTGTTAAATTATCGCGCGTCCGTCTTTCGGGAACGGCGTGACACGGCGACGGCGTTAGAGAGCGGCTGCTGCTCATTTCGATTTGACAAACGCGCAGAAAATGCAAATCCCTTCTCCCCTCCCTCCCTCCCATGGAAATGTCAATCCGCCCTGCTCGTTCAGATTCGCGCGACGAAACTCTCGGACGATAAAAAGGAAGACAGACAGCTCCGGGAATTGAGGCATCCGAATCGTTAATCGCCGTGTTAATCGCCTCGTTGCTGTTGTAAGAGAGAAAGAGAGAGAGAAAAAAAGAAGAGGAGAGAGACAAATGCATGGAAGAAACGTGGAGACACGTAACAAAAATCCTGTTTAGCGCTGTTTATTATTCGCTCTCCTCGAGAGCGAGAGAGAGACAGAGAGAGAGAGACGGACAGACAGACAGACAGACAGAGAGAGAGAAGAAAGAGAGTCCTTTTAATCCTGCGCGTCCTGCGTTTTATCGTCGCGCCGATCGATCACAATGAGCGCATTGTTACATGGATAAATAGCCCGCGAGGTCTGAGAATATTTTCTCGTGCTGTGGGACTACTCGAGAGAGAGAGAGAGAGAGAGAGAGAGAGAGAGAGAAGGGGCAGAGAACGAGTACAATAATTCGAAGGCGAATGAGGCGAGCGAGCGGCGCGAATATTTCCGGTGGCGGCGTGTTTATCCAAGAATGACGTCGAGTGCGTGGATTCGAGCCACCGGGCGATTTTATTCGCCGAGTGTTTATTTTAAGATCGCACGTACGGGTTTCCGGGTCTATTAAGAGGCGCGCATGTACGCTCCTCGACACGACCGTAAATCTTTTCTACGCTCCCGCGCGAGGGACGGAGGGACGAAGGGCGCGGACGTTCGAAATGAAAGCAACTCACCTCGAGACTGTTCCTTTGAGACGTGCTTCTAAAGACGGGAGAAATGTTCCCGTTCTCAGAGAGGAAATTCGTGGCGCGTAGACGGACGTTTCGAAACATTCCGACTTTTACGCGCGCGCGTAACGAAAATTTCAGTTCGTGTACGGAAAGAAAAGAGGTTGAATTGCCAACGGACGAAGTGGCTTTTAAGTTTAAGTTTAAGGTAGAAATTTCCTGCAGGATCCTTTCTGTGCTTATGAGAAATATCGCAATCATTCCAGGTCACCGATACCAACGACAACGCGCCAACTTTCCAGAGCACGGCCTACTCGTTCGATGTCCCGGAGAACGTGCCGAGGGGTAGCCGCATCGGAGAGGTCGTTGCGACTGACGCCGATGCTGAAGGGCCCAACAGCCAATTGAGCTACGTGCTGATCTCCGACTGGGCGAACGACGTGTTCTCGTTGAACCCCAACACCGGCGTGTTCACGCTCACCGCGAGCCTCGACTATGAGCAGGTATGACTATGTAGCTCGAAACATGAATCAGAAAGCAACAATATTTCATAGTTTACTTTACTTAATTTTCACTTAACAAAATGAAAATTGAATGAAGGGTATACCAACATTCTGGCGCGGCTCTTTCTCTCTTTCTCTCTCTTTCTCCCTCTCTGTCCAAAGTCTATATATATCAAATGGAATGTCTGTCTATCTTATATGTTTCCTATAAACTCCTAAACTCTTTGATCGATCTGGATTAAATTTTGCATAGTTACTCTATAGGACTCTGCGGAAAATATAGGTTACCATGAAACTTGGATACTCCAACCCTTCCCTCTAATTTCATCACCTTAACATTTTTTAATAATTTATATTTAGTGGTAATTTATGTTTTGATTTGTGTTTTATTTTGCCGTTTCAACTGAGAACGTTCATTCATTTCTATTCATTTGTTCATAAACGCGAGTAATCCATTTAACACAAAGGAAGAAAGAAGAAAATAAGAACAATAATAACAAGCATGAAGTAGAACAATGGCACTTCATACTGATTTCTGCATGCGCTTGATTTTATTTTCATTTTATTAGATTTTGTCAGTCATTCTTATACACATTCGTGCTCGGTGAGCTTGAAGTCGTACGTGTACACGTGCCGTCAGAGGAATGCCCGTGCCATAAAGGGAAGTGCCAGAGTTCACGACGAGGGTGAACAGTCTGTGAGACGAGAGTGCCGAAGTTCCGTTTAGATAAAGTCGGAACTATAACAGACGTACACGCGTATCCGCTAAAACGTGTCGGACCAAGCCCGGGGCAGCGATTACAACCACGAACACGCCTCTCCACATTCAAGCCCGCGCACACCTATTATACCAGCCGCGCAGGCCAACGCTAGAATTTAGGGTTTAACGCTAGGAACACAGAGTCGGACAGATCGATGAACAGACAGTCTTTAATGGCGGTCCGCTGCTGCATTTCGGAGACAAGCCATACTTAGACTCTCGACCGCGTACACTTTACGGACTGATGCAGTAGCGTAAAACGTGAACGCGATAACTCGAAACGGTCCCCTTTAAGCGAGGCAGACGAGAGAGTGTAGAGCGAGCGATAGCTTTCCGAAGTGATGCGAAGTGTCGAACAACACATTTTCGTCGGGTAATTTCGAATGAAAAATAAAGTTGAAAATTAAATAAAAATGAATGAAGAGTTTAAATTAAAAATATGAAATCCGGATTAAGATTGCAAAATAACATTAGAAATTAAGCATCAAGGATGACCGCGAGGATTCCGAAAACTACGTTTGCCGTCTGTTTAAATAAAGGACAAACGATTTCCGATAGTTAGATTTGCGATTGCACGCGTGATTAATTACGTGCTCTCCGAGGACTTGCGCGTAGATTGAACGTCAGCTTCGCGTTGTATTTTATTATTAACGTGGTCAGGTTGAATTGTTCACCTCGTTCTACGTGAAGTCTCCGGCTGCGATATTAACATTTTATCGCGATAATAATAACAAATATCGACGAGCGTTTGCCACGCTTAAGGCCATCGCACACAAAATTCCGTAAGAACTTAAATCGTAAGCGTAAGGAAATCGACCAATCCCAATCGAGTATTCGGCTCTTCGTAATAATGGAGAGGTTACGAAGAGCCGAGTGCTTGATTAGAATTGGTCGATTTCTTTACGTTTACGTTTTAAGTTCTTACGGAATTTTGTGTGTGATGGCCTTTACTGGCTACGCCACTGTTTTACGCTCTCTTACGACACGCATGTGAGAGCACGGCGGGGGAGCGTGTTAGTCGCGGCTCCTATCGAGAGGGACTAGAAAGAGTAGCGAGGGGAGACGCGAGAGTGAGGAACACAGGATAAGGGTAGCTTATAGAACCCTTCATCAACGTAATGCCCCGCCAGATACACGTTCCGGGCAACGTCATTACGGGGCCATGAAACGCGTCGTACGCGTGTATGCGAAAGCGCGCATCGGAAACAAAGAAATAGCACGGTGCCGCGCCGAAACTGACATTTTAGTCCTTGCAAAGCGGTTAAGTGCGGGTCTTAAAGGGACCTGTTACCGGACGATTTATAACAGGGGCGAACGTTAATCCTCGCGCAGTTTCGGCGCACCGAATGTGCGGCTCTGTGTTCCAGGAGAGAATCTCGCCTCTGCGTCCACCTATTCGTACGTTCTTCTTCTTTCGTTTTCTTCCCCTGAAAATTAGTCCGGTTTTTAACGGAACCATAAAACCAATCGCTGCAAGCCCTCGCGTCACGCTTCGAAAACAAATCCCGCCTGCCGAGAGGTCGAAATGCACGTATAACTTCGTCGAGGAAAACTCGATTTCAAGGTGGTCGGGACTAATGTATCCCGAGAAGATAGAGTCTAGCTATTCCTTCCTTGAGTACTTCTGTCTACTGGTCAAGAGTGTCTTCTCATAAAGTTGTCGCGACTCGAGGGAAGTTTATGTAAGAATCACGCTCAGCATTCCGAGATTTAAGGGTGACCGATGCACTTTCTCGTACACCAGGTGCAGCACTACATCCTGGTCGTGCAAGCCACGGACGGCGGCGTGCCGGCGCTGTCATCCACGGTGACGGTGTACTGCAACGTCGTCGATCTGAACGACAACGCGCCCATCTTCGAGGCCGGCCCACACGCCGCCGACATCGTGGAGAACACGACCGTCGGCAGCCCGATACTCACCGTGACCGCTCAAGATCTGGACTCTGGTGACAATGGCAGAGTCGTCTACGCCGTGATCGGCGGCGACGACGACGGGGACTTCGGCATGGCGGCCAATGGCACTCTCTTCACGCGGCAACCGCTGGACCGTGAACGCAAGCCTCTCTACAACCTGGTGTTGAGCGCCACTGACAGCCCGTTGCCGCCCGCTCGTCCGCTCTCCTCCACGGTGCAGGTGAGTCTTGAATATTTCAGAAACCTTCTGATGACGAAGTTTCGAGCTTGTGAGAGAAGGAAATCCTGATTTCCGCCTCCATTCGCTACTGTAATCGTAGACTTACACACAACAACGACGGGAGGAACAACTCTGCACATAGAAAAGTGCACATTGCATTCAAATAAATGGTACTTGTTTTAAGCATTGGGTTGTGTAATGAGAAATGTTCGGATTCTACAGGTGAAAGGAAGGAAAGTAAATTGAGTAACGGCTTTTCTTAGCATCAGAATGATGTTTTTCTATGTATTTCCGCCATTCATTTACAAGTAAACCTTTTCTTTTAAGGTTTCTTTTTAATTTGACACAAATGCAAAAGTACAAAAAATGTTTAGGTCATACTTTTTAATTTTGGTCAACTTTGAGTTTCACGGACAGTTTATAGCTTTTTAATGTTCTTACTCCTATCATCAACAAGTGCAACAAAAATGCATAAAAAATAAAATTGAATACAAGATATATAAAATTGAATAACAAGCATTTTTAGTTTGATGATTATGAACATGAAGTCAAATGTGTAAAATTATTTATATAAATAATAAAATGTTTATACAAAACATGTACAAAGTTAAAAAAAATTATTTATACAAATAATTTCTCGGTTTGGCCAAGATTCGAATCATTTTTTATTAATTTAGCATAGATTTGAAATATTTCGGTTAGAATCTCGACTAAAGAAATTTAGAATAGTTCGTGTCTTAGCTATGCCGATTTTGTTACAATTTTAATTAAAATTGCTGGATTTCGGTTTAGCCGAAATTCAGACCATTTTTTATTAATTTAGCATAGATTTGAAATATTTCGGTTGGAATCTCGACTAAAGAAATTTAGAATGGTTCGTGTCTTAGCTATGCCAATTTTGTTAAAATTTTAATTAAAATTGTCGAATTTTCTCAGTTTGGCCGAGATTCGAATCATTTTTAACTAATTTAATACAGATTTGAAATATTTCGGTTGGAATCTCGGCTAAAGAAATTTAGAATGGTTCGTATCTCAGCTATGCCGATTTTGTTAAAATTATTTAATTACATCTTGTATTCAATTTTATTTCTTGCATTTTTATTGTATTTGTTGGTAATAGGAATGAGAACATTAAAAAGCTATAAACTGTCTGTGAAACTCAAAGTCATCCAAAATGAGAAAATATGATCTAAATATTTTTTGTACTTCTACACTTGTGCCAAATTAGAAAGAAATCGGAGTGTATCTTTTAGATAAGTTCACTTAGACGAACTGAATTTTTCCGTGTAAAAAATGAAAATCGTGCGACTGCGCTCGTATTGTCATTGGGGGAAATTGACCTTTTGATACAGTTACAGTCGGGAAGCAAAAGTTTCGAAGTACCTATTTTATTACTGGCATGATCATTTTTAATTAGTCTTCGTTCAGATTTACTTTGCGTGGAAATATTCCTTTTGACTTTTAGTCATTTTGATTTTTCAATTTCACACTTCGAGAACGCAACTTAGTCCTTGATTCACTCCGTGAAAATTCCGTTTGATACTTGCAAATTTATCAGCTCTTTACTTTGCGGTAAGGAAGTTTCGGAATTCGTTCAGACTCGCGATAGAATTTCCGGCGCGGATCGGAAGTCGACGCGAGGTCGGGCAAAGGCTTCGGTGGTGAGAGCATCGAGCCGGTGTCGATGACAGCTGCTCATCCTACCGAATTCTGAAGCAACCACGTTGTTACCTACCACCCCTCGTACGACAGGTGACGGTGGTGTTGTTGGACGTAAATGACATGTCGCCGGAGTTCATATCGCCTACAAGGATATCGATAATCGAGAACGCGCCGAGCAACACGGTGGTGATGTCAATCAAGGCCGTCGACCGGGACGAAGGTCGGAACGGATACGTCGAGTATTCGCTGGAGAACGATAGTCTGCCGTTCACGTTGGGCTCGGTGGACGGGCTGCTGCGCGTCTCCGGGCCATTGGACCGCGAACGGACGTCGAATTACACTCTGCAGGTCACCGCCAAGGATCGCGGCGAACCGCCGAGATCGTCGTCGATCACCGTCACCGTCGCGGTGCTCGACGAGAACGACAACTCGCCGGTGTTCGACCCTAGGCAATACTCCGCCACCGTAGCTGAGAACGCCAGCATCGGCGCCAGCGTCCTCCAGGTGAGATCGACACATTTTCTTCCATGTTCTTGTTAGTTTTATATTACTACATTCTATATACTTCTTGCCAACTCAATGAAGTGATTCCTCAGCCTTCTTCTTCATTTTCTATACATCACCTTCAGCTCACATCAGCTAGAAAAAGTTTCCCGTATCCTATAATCTTCCTTCGCACTTCACCCTTCTTATTTGCACAGCACCAGCCCCATCAGTCCTTGTGTCATCCCTCTTCCGTATACCTTTATTTTGCTTCCTTATCCTATTCTTTCTTATTATGGCCTTCCTATTATGACCAAATCTTTCCTCTTCATTTTTTACATCCTTTTCTTGCTCTTGTGTACGTAAGTCTTCTATTATTACTTATTATACATTTTCTCCATCGATAATTTCCTCTGCATTATCATACTAATTTAAGCCTGCCTGCATTACCTACACTATCCTAACTGCTCGTTCCTTGTGACACCGTAACCTCTATTACCAATGCACATTTTCCACCGTGAATCCGCTTTCTTACCTAACCTTGTTTCGCCTTCACTTACACACTATCTACGCACTCATTCCTACATAATTTCTCCTATCTGACCTCCTATACTTATCTCAATGCGGTAAACCATCTCATTCCACGCTCACGCATCATATTAGTCAAGCATCTCAATACACTCTCACGCCATTTAACCAAATTCTATTCTATTCTATTCTTATTTTATGAGTTTTTAATGACTTTTTCTCTGAATTATTTATGCATTCTTTTAAAATTTTTATGAATTTTGTTTTCTCTTCCAATCGGTTGAATTTTTTATATTTTGATTGATTTAAATCTGTCATGTTATTAAATATTGATTTTAGTACGATAATCGAAAAATATTAATTAAACACAATCAGGTACCTGAAGTGACATCTGTAATTGCTGTAAAAAGATTTTGTTTGCCATTCATAACTGTGCTGTTGAGTTTATCAAAATCTTTAGTCTACAGCTTAGGTCGCTATTCGTAATCGCAATTATTCGTCCCAGGTGTCGGCGATGGATCGCGATGAGGGTGCCAATGGCAGGGTGCGTTACAGCATCGCAAAGGGCGATGACAATCGGGACTTTACGATTTCTGAAGACGGCGGGGTAATCCGGGTGGCGAAGAACTTGAACTTCGAGCGCAAATCGAGGTACCATCTGACCATCCACGGCGACGACTGTGCGGCGGAAGTCGGCGAGAAGTCTCGCCATGATACCGCTCAGGTCGACATTACCGTGCTGGACATCAACGACAATGCGCCGGTCTTTCTCGATTCCCCGTATATCGCGCACGTTATGGAGAATTTGGTTCCACCGGGCGGTTTCATCATACAGGTGAACACAGATGTTGATTTATCTTTGTCTTTCCTTTTTGTTTTTTGTAATAAACTATATTTTTCGCATTATACCAAAAAGATAACTTTTAAAGACTGTAAAAGTATTATTAAAAATTCTGCCGTGTTCTTAACGAAATTTTCTATGTTTCTTGGGAAGATAAATCTTACTAACTATTCCTGCACTATCAGAAACATAGTAAAATTGAAAAGAATTTAAATGAAGAAAGAAACTATAATATTCTTTCCGTTTTCTTCATTTTCACAGTAATGTAAAATGTCCGGCTGATATTGGATATTTAATATAAATGTACAATAAAGGGCATAAATTAGCAGAACATTTTACTTTTCCATAATTTCGACAATGAGACATTTGTGTAATAATGTATATCATTTTTGTCATCTGTCCATCAAAGGTGAAGGCATACGACGCGGACACGCCGCCGTACAACGACCAGGTGCGGTACTTCCTCAAGGAGGGCGACACGGATTTATTTCGTATAAACGCGAGCACTGGCGACATATTTCTCCTTCGGCCATTGGACAGGGAGGCGATGTCCGAGTACACGCTCACTCTAGTGGCCATGGATACAGGTGAGTTAGCGTATTCATTAACACCCAATCGCAATCCGCGAAGCCGTCAAGTGAAACGGGCGCTGAGTTCACGGCATTTCGTTGGAAACGGCTGATCGCAGCGCGCGACGACGAGAATTACGAGTTCGAGAGTCGCAAAGCTAGATGATACGTCACGATAACGAGCATCTAACTCTGACTTGAGGGACTCCACTATTGCTCGTGATCATTTGAAATCAAGACACGTCGCCGAATCACGCTCGCGATCACGCTTCGCGCCGCTTCCTCACGTCCACCCTAATCGACCACCCGCCGAAATGTCATCCCGGACCGGCAGCGAGATCCGCAGCACATAGATGAGAGAGAGACGATAGACGATGTACGCGGTGGGTTTAAGTAATGAGCGGTAATATACAAATTGGATATAAATTTGTGGGTTGTTCGATGAGATTCTTTAAGCGGTGGGCAGTTCCTCCCTCTTAAGCCTTTTTTCTCCTTCCTTCCTCTTAGAAGCCGGTAGTCCTCCCTCGGTCCCTCCCCAGCCTTCACCCCCGATCTCCCTTTCTCCCCTTCCTTGCCGTCCAGCTCCCTCCCCCCTCGGTCGGTGGCTCGATGGCCCAATCGGTCCCCGGCGAGGTAGACAAGCCTGCAGAGTTATGACGCGCGATTATGATAATCGGTCTCGAATGCCTTCCTCCCTGCCTCGACGCTGCTCCGTCCTGTTCCCCCTCTCGCCGAGCCCTGGTCGGCCGTCCGTCCGTCCGTCCGTCCGTCGGGCCGACCGACCGACCGACCGCGGGCCTTATTCCACACTCCCCCTTCCCACACTTGGCGGTCCCTTCCATCTCCTCCACCTCACCCTTGCTCGCTGCTGAGACCCTGCGCGCGCGCGTTTCGGGGCCTTACTCCCACCTCGTGTCCCTTTTCGTTGGAGAAAGATAGAGGAGGAGGAGGAGGGAGAGAAAGAGAGACGTGAGTCTTTTGGGTACCCGCCCGTGCGCCCGCACATTATATTCTACTTTATTCATACAGCGCGGCTGTCACGCGCGCACGCACGCACGCACGCATGCACGAATGCATGCATGCACACACGCACGTATGCATGCATGCATGTACGCACGCACGCACGCACGCACGCACGCACGTACGCACGCATTTTCGTATCGAGGTGCGTATTTCTGTCCCGACACGCGCATCGGCGAGATGATCGCCGGACCTTATGACCTCTTCCAGAGGGGACTGACGCGGAACGGGAAGCTCTCTCTCTCTCTCTCTCTCTCTCTCTCT